TAATAGTCCTATTTCTAAGTTTATAGCACAAGGACCTAGAGGTGCACGGATATTCACCACCAGATCTCGCCAGATTGCATTCCCCTCGGAGTGCGAGAGGATTGATGTTGGAAAAATGGAGGAGGGGGAGGCCCAAGCGTTATTTTCGAAACACTTCGGTAGCTGGGGGGGATTGGGAGATGGGTAAGCAGGGATGGTTGCCGTGATCCTAGGCACAGTGGATCGCTTGCCGCTGGCCGTCGTAGGTTCTGCAGCATCCATGGCCAGACGGAAACACGACCCTCCGAGGACTGGACTATTTTCCGGGAGACTGACGAGCAGATGAAGGAGCTACCGTCAGAGCAGCTTAGCGATATCCGCCCAGAGTCTGACCGGACTGAAAGTATTTTGTGCACATAATTCATCACGTTTGACCAAATAACAAAACAGATGCCGACAGCCTAGCATCTCCTGTGCCTGATCGCCTTCGTTGATCGTCAAAATACCCGATGATCTCCTGCGGGAATGTGGCGTCGGAGGGCCGCATGGTTCTATCCAATTTCGTGGCGGGATCGCCAAACTGCTGTGATTCTCATTGGTTACGGCCACCAAGAGTGAAGACAAGACCATCTATTCGCTACATCGCTTAACCCAGCTACTGATAGATGCCTATCTGTCAACAGAAGAATTGGATACACAGGGTGCCACGGAACTAGGCCTGGTTTCCCGAATGTTCTATAAAGATGAGCATGAGCTGCGCGATATTTGCGAGGAGCACATTCCACATGCACTTGCGGTTACCAAAGGTAGAAGGGATAATGTTGCCGAGGATCTTTGTTTTCACATGGGAGAGTACTTTCTGCATTCAGGTTCCTACAACAATGCAGAAGCACAGATCTGTCGATGTATCACGTTTGGCCAGAACAATACGGAGCAAACCTTGGATAATGGACATAGCAGATTTATCCTCCTGGGGAACGTGAGGGCATCCCAAGGAAGGGCAAAGGAACAAGAGGAGATACTTCGGAATGTGCTAGAGAATCTTGCGGGGCCATTGGGTCCAACCGATTCTGACGCACTGGAGTGCTTATCCTACCTGGGAGATGTGATGTGTCAGCACGGAAAGTACGAGAAATCAGAGAAGATGAAATCGACGTGCACTCGAGGTGTCTGAGAGGGCTCTGAGACCTAACCACCAAGACACGTTAACCAGTACCATTAACCTATCTGTGGCGCTGCGATACCAGAGGAAGCACGGCGAGTCGGAGATGATGAATCGGCGCGCATTCGAGTGGCGTGACATGGTCTCGGACCTACCACCCAGATATCCTGACGAGTGGCGACAACCAGGCTTTGGTGCTGCGACGCCAGGGAAATTACGAGTGCGGCCGATAGATATATTCGTCACGTGGGTCTGATAAGAAAGTTCCGGTGAACCTTTTGGCTGCGATTTGTCAGTAGATAAGGCACGTGACGAATATATTTATCGGCCGCACTCGTACGTTGAATCAGAAAGGCTGCATCGCGATGCACTTGCGGGACGCGAGGAGGTCTTGGGACTAGACGGCTCCGACACCTTAGGAAGCCTCAACAACCTTGCTATTGGATTGTCAATTACGAGTACATGCAAGAGATACCCATGTATCGAGGAAGTGTTTGCACATTTTCCTTCTTTTCACCGCTTATTTCCTATTGTGTCTGGTCGTCCCCTCTATGTTTGGTGCCTGCAGCCTTTGCGATGCCTGCTCCCACTGTGGTCTTGCTGGACAATCGTGATGTTTTCGTGAGAGTGCTACGAACGAAGATGTTGGCCAAGAATGGCCGTACGAAAACTTATTTGTCGGAGCCAGTTTCCTAGGAGCAGATCGGAGGAGGGCACCCATCCGCAACCTCTACCCATTTTATAGACGTCTTACTATCATAGCATAGCCAGGATCCGAACTGTTCTTGCTGTGTGGCGGGTTACATGTCCCAGGTGTGTGAGAACTGAAGTTTTGCTAAGCAGGATATAAATCTTGGTGTGGTGTGAAAAACATTTCGTTCGCGTTGGTGCGAGCGTTATCAAGCTTTTGTAAACAATATTGTCAACACCATCCCTCAACAAGTGTCATTGAAGAATTGTTTATAAGGTATGACTGCCGCAGAAAACCCTCCCTCATGCAAACCTTAACCGCAAGCACCCATTGCCCCTAAAATGCTGCCATCCCGAACAGAATAATAATAATAAAAACGTACATTTCGGTCACACTACCACCAGAACCACCCTAACCGCCCCCCGACAGTGGTGAGAATGCCGAAAGGGCACTCAAATCTTGGAGCCCCTCAACAGTAGCTAGCTACTCGCATTTGCCCGGTAAAGTCTCATCGCTTTCGTGCGACTGGTGCATGTGCTATCCTCAGCTGGCGTATCTTGTCCTACGATCTTTGTCTGCAGAATCTCTCGCTCTCGGTTACAGCCTCCACGATCCTCCCATATCGGCCTCCTGTTTGCGGCTACTATCCAATTAGCTCCAGCAGCTGCGACAAAGACAATAAGTAGTTCCCTGCTCCTGGGGTTGACCACTGAAAAATATAATCACACGCAGGTGATAAAGGGGATGTTTCAAAACTATAGGGTTTCTGAAACAAACCGCATTGTGTGTTCGATGTACGATGAAGGGAAAATAGGAGCTGTTTGTGGAGATGCTGGTGGAGTGTTTTGTGCATTTGTTTGTGGTTAGGGAATTTGGAAGGCAACAGCGAAGCGAGCGGGATTTAAATCCTCATTCTCCCCCTCTCAATCACCCGGCCACCAGTAGTCTGACTGGTGCCAGAGGAACAGATGTGAGAGCTACTTTTCCCAAGCCGTAAGTACCAGAAAACGAGGTATAATGCAGGTTAGTTTCAAAAATTCGTAGCAAACTAACTACAAGTCGCATCCAAATCCTCGTAACCAACTTACACACAAGTTTTGGATGGGCACTCAGACAGGCTCAAACGATTTGCCAATATATTTCTTCAATCCTTGTTTTCTGGTGGTTAGACTATGGCCTATGACGAGTACAACGAAACCCTGGTCCACGTGTCACATCCCTAGCTAGAGTGCACACTCGCTGAGCCCCTTTCATCCTCCCTCACTGCGTCGATATTTCCCTCTATCAACATCAGCAGCAGGCACACCCTCGGCCCTTGTCGCCACCACCGAAAAGCTTCAGGACTTTCTGACGACCCAAAGCGCCGGCCCCGTGCATATAACTGAATTCCAGAAGCGTCGCGTGGAGCTGATGGAACAGCGAGGCCGCCAGGCTGCCGGGAAATTACAACAGATGCTCACCAGCGGGGGCCGGGGACGCACCCACCGACGGCAGCGGCGGCAAGAGAACGGAGAAGCGTAGGAGGGTTGCCAATGGGCAATTATCATTCGTGGGGGGGAGGACACTCAGGATAATGGCACAGATGATGGCGGGGATCATTCACACGCCCATCTAACGAAGCCCTATAGCGAGGATAACAATAACGGCAGGGAGGAGGATGAGATGGAGAAACGGAAGGTGAATCCGAAATTTGGGCGGCCGCTCCGCAGGGCTTGACGTGGAATACTCTTTCGAGGGAGGCTCGGGAACGGGAGATATTTAGGAGGGAGTTTTCGGCCACCAGGAGTAGATTAACAACGAAGAGATTTGCATTCCGTTTGTCTTTTATGATGGCAGGTGTTATTAATACTCGGATTTCGGGAGTGGAACCAAAGCTAACACCTACAGGGTACCAATGTCGCGCCGCCAACCAGAGAAGCCGTGACGGGCCGGACGGGCCGGGCTATATGGCTATTTCCTGAACGTGCTACGAGAATGGCTAGACGAACGGAGTGGCTCAGTACATCGGCGGCTGACTTACTACTGGTTTGCCGGGAAGTGAGAATACCGCACGTACATCTCCCGCCCCTCCCCCCTCCTCCTCCTCCAGTGATCACTAACCCACTCGGCAGCAGTCTGGACTCTAATACCCATCGCCAATCGCCGAATGGAGCCCAACGGTTTATTGTTCGACATCCCCTTCACCGCTATTGCCCACCCCCCTGACCTGTACTCGGAACCCCAAATGGGATGACTCGACAGTGACCAAAGTGGTGGATCGTCGCTGGTGCAAGCAGAATAACTATGTATTCCCCACTAGGGTGTGGACGGTATTCTATTCTGGTACGGATTACTCCACCGCGGTACGGCTGGATGTGGGTGGGAATGCCTTCTTCGGCTGAACTAACCACCATTGTAACAATCGACTTTCACTGCCCGCGGATGGAGGACCGGAATATGGAGTACCAGAATATCCCTCAGCACACCATAGTATGATACTATACATGCTATCCTCGGATGTTTTTTTTGCTCCCTTCTTCTTTCTTTTCTCCTTTACCCTCCACCGGGTTGACACCGTGGGCTACGGGGCTCGGCCTAATCCTTGGACCCTAAAACCTTTCATGATCAATGAAACTGATGATTCGATGCGCCACTCCATTGCAAGTATCATACGGGAATGCGTCGTCATCAGGCTCCCGCAGTGCTCCACATGCTCGACGGTGGTAGTTCCCCGTCTCTGCAACAACATCAATTTTCTTCCTCACATGTACCCGATCATCATCACTCTCATCATCCTCACAACCCTCATCTTCTTTGGCCTGAATACTACGTTAGAATGGATGGACTTGTCCCCCGCTGCAGCCACCACTGGCCCCGAGCTCAAACGGATGGCTGTGCTGTTGCCACCACTTGCAGGTATTCATCCTCTTGATCCACTAGGACAAACACATGATACCGCTCCAGCGGCTGGATTGCAGTTAAATTCACTGATATCGCAACCTAGGCCACCAGACCAATTCTCCGGCGTGGGGGTAAGCGCCACAAACAGCACCCGGGTCTCCGTAGGGAATATCCCTCGCGTGAGGCGGGTAGAAATGGTTTCCCGATTACATACTGAATCCCCCAGCATACCCGCCCCGCTCTTGGAGCCATTCATCCATCTACAGCCCTGATGTTGGTTCACTCTTCCTCACCTTTTCTAGTCACATTTACCGCCTACCATGTGCCACTGCCCTTCAGCTTATCGAGCCTCCTCCGAACGATCAGCGAACCCATCCGGCCTACAGCACCGCACTCTCCAAGCCTGACGACGCCGTGATCGCGGTTCCAAATCCGAGCAACGACTACAAGACTTGTGTTCTCAGTGGACTCAGTCCTAGTTCCACAATAGAAATCCGCACTCGTGTGCTCACCCTCTAGACCTATCAGGTGAGCAAGTAAATATCGGCGTCAGACCCATTCCCACTCTTAGGTGAGGTATTGACTATGACCTAGATTTTTTTTCAAGAACAGGTTGCAAAACCCTTATGAACACGGGAATCTGAGATTCGAGGGGAGAACGAGAATATTGTTCGCCGTGCTGATGCAGAAATACCAGCGCCGCGTACCAAAAGTGGTAGAATCGGGCTTGCTGAGGATAAAGTAAGCAAGAATCAAGAGTTGGTGCGGGGATGGAGAGAGAAAGCGAGGAAGCTGGTACAAATACCGGTACTCGCCACTCACATTTGCCATTCCCCATAAGAGGCCCCGTGCTGACACTGCATAGGAACTCTACCACCCGCGTAAACGCCAAACATTAATCTCCCGAGTGCAGTAGGCCGCTGCCGACTAGGCTGATCAAGCCTTATATGTGCCTTCCGGCAAATCTCCCACTGCCCGGCAATTGCAGGACCCCCCGGGCAAGACTGCGCGAAACAATCCCCCCTCGAATTCGGCCGGGCCTGGGGCCCGAATACATCATAACCGGTGCGAAGATCGGGACCATTCAGGGCCTGAATGCCACAGGCCCTGGAGGAAGGGGTGGTCAATCCTTGAGACGTCCAGGACGGAGACCTGCCAATGGCGGGAGCATACTCTTTAACGGTAGATATTCCCTCTTTCCAATCCATTCACCTCACCCCCCTCAACGATCGAGTAGATAAAATTCCCTTCCTGTCAACGCTTGAACACCCAATCCACAGCTATACGATTCTCCGGTACACAGGACGAGTACTGTACACCACCTTTAACGGGGCTTAATGGGAATACTGGGGGTGGGGGGATGGGAGATGGGGGCAAGGATAGAAGGCTTGTGGACGAGGATGGGAAGGTTGTTCTTGATTAACATTGAAGAGGAAACCTTGATTTTCTCGCCGCCATGATGGTGGTGATTTTTGTAATGTTTGGACACTAATTTGGTCAACTTTGTGACAATGGTGAAACCTTTTTTCTCTGCCTCCCTCTCTTTTGTTTTCTTATCCATTGGTTAAAGCAAATGGATCGTGAGGAAGGGGGATTTGAGCAAAATGATGTGCTATCCTTCAATTGATTTATATGGGAGGGGAAATACCAATGCTACACTATACATACGTACTTCCAGGCAAGTAGCGTTGCTAATGTATTCACAACACTCTCACAGGCCTCCCAGAAATCTCGAGGTTACGCCAATGAATGCCTCAACAAAGCCATTCCGGTTAAGGCAGAACTCTCTTAGTGTGCGACATGATACCTCACTGCACTCCGCCACAACCCATACATCTATCCACGACCCCTTCCCTTGACCGGTCCTCTGAAGAGGACTTCGCGCGCAATCCACCCAAACACAATAATCCTCGCCGAAGCATAAGTTCCCTACCGGGAAAACAGTAGATGATGCGGGTCGGGCAAGCAAATCAGCGGGCAGAAATTAAGATTCTTGACGTAAACCGGATACCATCACCCAACGACACCCGATGCAGGGAGAATAACCTCACTTGTAGCCAAATTAACAGTGTCACGCCCGGTCGGGAACACACATGTGATTATAGAGGTATGCACCGCGAGATGGCGAGCAGCGGGATCAAGAAGGGGTGTGGTTGTTGGAGCGGTAGAGCATGTGGTATCATAGCATGTTATTTATGGAGGGGGAAGGCGGGGGGGTAAGGCAGCGGAAAGGCGGGAGAGGTGGGTCAGCTTATGAATCTATTACCCGGTTGTTAGCAGGGTGAGTGATGTCTGGTGGTTCTGGAGATTGTCTATATCATGCTATACGTATAGCACCGGTAGAGTATCTACGGTGGAGGTTTGACTCAGGGGGTTCCGTTTTTTCTTTTCTTCTCTTTTCTCCTTTCTGCTCCCCCTCCCCCCTTTCTTCCCAGTTTAGATTGGTACGCCCCGCCCGGAACTCCCGACCGTATTGTGATGTGATCCACCGGTCGG